AATTGTATATAATGTAAATTATTCAAAAGAAGCGATTCGATAGTACTTTTAAGTAAAAAAGGCGCGCCCAGGTAAAATAAATGGCATGGTAATATAATGATGATCCAGAAGTTGTTTTATCCCTTTGTTGTACATGATGTTTTATTAAGGATAAAAACGATTTGTTATGTGATACATGCACGCATACCTTATCGAGTAGTTTTCTACATGTATAGTGTGTTTAATGTAATGCTTAACTATAAACTAACAGAGGGGCCCAGTGTTCCTTTTGTCTGAAAACGGATTATGTACATTCCATTATTTTGAAAATTAAAATACCTTTGTTTGTCAACCAAAGAATACTTCTCGATATTTTATCAAACAAAAACGAAGTTGATCTGCATTATCCCACTATTATCAAATACATATTTTTACCCAACTCAAACAGGTTATATGCCACTCCCCGTTACATCAAAGAACTTGCTATAAAGCTGAATTTCTACTTTGCACCATTTCGAACCTTAGCCATATTGTTGAATGATGATGGATAAAGACAACAGTAGTATATCGCTGTTTAATAGTTACAATTCGATTAAGCAAAAACAAATCTGGGTCACAAACTAAAACCGAGAGAAACACATCAACTATAAGAGTAAAACAACGGAAAAACAGAAATTCTGTACTACAACAACAGAAAACGCCACCATACATAGAAACAGACTCTCTGATAACAACTGCCATATTCCTGACTAGGCAGAGGACATTTTAAGGGCAAATGGTGGGTTGAGCCTGGTGTTATGGCTAGCAATACTTCCCGCTTATATGACAATGTTAAAAATACCGCTAACATGAGAATACTTTGGGTTTTTTTTTCTGTGACTTCATATGAAGTTCAATAAACAGTATCTAGCAGTATATTATATTTTATTGGTTCAATACCATAATAGATGTAGTCATTCGCATTGCTATAAACAAATTCCTAAGACATGCATAAACTTGCAATAACCAAATTAACATAATTAAGTTTAAGTGGTTTTTATTTGAAAGCATAAATATAACATGTATAAACAACAAGAGTGGACACACTGAAATATTTCGCCTGTTTTAGTGTTCATAATTGAATTTATGTTGAAAGTAAAAAAAATAAGTTTATATAAGCTTTACATTAAATTAACATTTTAATGATGAATGAACATGAAGTCAAGGTGAGATAAACCCTATCAGACAAACATGTAGGCCGTACAATCATTCCATACACCAAATTTATTTAACATATATTACCTAAAGTATCTTAGAAACAAACCTTATTGAGGAAACTGAACTTTGACCAATGAACCATAAAATGAGGTCAAGGTAAGATGACACCTGTCAGACAGACATATACATATAACATTCATTCCATACAGAAAATTTTATGAACTTATTACTTATCTGCCAGTTGGAAATGTGAACCTTACGATCATTCTATACACCAAATATAGAAGACCTATTGGTGATAGAATTTGAGATATGGACTTTATCATGAAAACTAAATCTTGTTTATTTTTTTGAAACATTAAGTCAAATGACTACTAAAAGCAAACTTTGAAATTTCTTATGAAATAATTTTTCATCTAGATTTAAGGTTCATCAGAAGGGATTGACAAATATGGCCATTTTTTTTTATTTCCTCTTGAGTACAGACAAACCTGTGCACAAGGAAAAGTTTTAAGGCATTGCAGAAACTTGATAAATATTTGTCAATTCCTTGAGATGAACCTAAAAGACCCCCAACCCCCCAAAAAAAAATAAAAAAAATAAAATTATCTTCAATCTTTGATCAAAATATTGTAAAAAGTCATATTTTCATATTATCTATTTATCTATTTATGTTGCTATGCTAAACTATTTTTTACTTATCTCAATACTTATCTTATTTCATATGTATCAAAAATCAGTAAATGTGATTCTGTTGTGCAAACAAAATTTCAAAAGTTCTTCAATCTGTACATATTCAGCCAATTAATCTTTATGAAGGGACTGGAGTGAACTGTATTCTATGTTAAACATTCATGCATGAGTGACCTTATTTTAACATTTTCACACCTTCCAATGTTTTTGTTAATCACGGTTTAGTAATGATCCCTTAAAAGTTTTTATTATTTATTATCATTATTAATGTTATTTAAAGATTTTTATAAAATAATCTATTTCAATGTAAGTAATCAGCAGTTAAATAATAAAATACATTCCATACACCAAATATAGTTGACCTATTACTTATAGCATCTGAAGAGAAGACCAAACAACAGAAACTTAACATTGACCAATGAACCATGAAAATAAGCTCAAGGTCAGATGAAACCTGTCAGACAGACGTGCACACCTTACAATCATTCCATACACCACATAAAGTTGACCTATAACTTATAGTATCTGAGAAGAGGACCAAACAAGAGCAACTTAACATTGACCAATGAACCATGAAAATGAGGTCAAGGACAAATGACACCTGCCAGACAGACATGTACACCTTACAATCATTCCATACACCAAATATAGTTGACCTATTGCTTATAGTATTAGAAAAACAGACCAAAACACAAAAACTTAACATTGACCAATGAACCATGAAAATGAGGTCAAGGACAAATGACACCTGCCAATCAGACATGTACACCTTACAATCATTCCATACACCAAATATAGTTGACCTATTGCTTATAGTATTAGAAAAACAGACCAAAACACAAAAACTTAACATTGACCAATGAACCATGAAAATAGGTCAAGGACAAATGACACCTGCCAGACAGACATGTACACCTTACAATCATTCCATACACCAAATATAGTTGACCAATGGCTTATAGTATTAGAAAAACAGACCAAAACACAAAAACTTAACATTGACCAATGAACCGTGAAAATGAGGTCAAGGTCAGATGAAACCTGCCAGACTGACATGTATCCCTTATAATCATTCCATACACCACATATAGCTGACCTACTGCTTGTAGTATCTGAGAAACGGTCCTAATCAAGTAACCTTAACCTTGATCACTGATCCATGAAATGAGGCTGAGGTCAGGTGAACCCTGTCTGATGGACATGTAGACGTTGCAAGGAACCCATATACCAAATATAGTTATCCTATTACTCATATTAAGTGAGAAATTTACATAACAAAAAAAACTAAACTTTTTTTTCAAGCAGTCGCTGAACCATGAAAATAAGGTCAAGGACATTGGACATATGACAGACGGAAAGTTCGTAACATAAGGTATCTGCATACAAAGTATGAAGCATCCAGGTCTTCTACCTTCTAAAATATAAAGCTTTATACAAATAGTTTACGCCGCCGGATAGTAATACCTATGTCTCACTTTCTGCGACTTTCGTCGCAGGCGAGACAATAAAAACACTCAATCTTTTCTGAATGTTATCGTAGAAGACTAATGCTTCTAGTGAGTTTTATCAGATAAGTGTGAGACTCAATGTTTTCCAACAAATCCCGATTAAATGTATATTCGTTAATCCTCATGGCAAACACATATCTATAAGTAGTAGAACAGACAGTACAAATCAAATGATTGAACAGTTCAGGGATGAAGCCACTGATGCTTTGACCAATCACTTTCTCTATTCCGTGCTGCAACTTTAAGCATTCAAAACTATTTTGTTACAAGTTCAAATAAGGTGATTTTCATTTCGTTTTACAACTGTGCCTTATCCTGACTTCACAATTGATTTATGTTAGAGCGCACTGATTCCATGATGTTTGGTAGTACAAAATCTGGAACTTCTGATCCGAAAAAAAAGAGCAAATATACCCTCTTATTTGTATTCATACTTTTTTATTAATCAAGAGAAAATTTCAAAAAACGTTCGTTGGTGATTCAAATTTCTTAAACTTTCAGTTGATACCACCATTTACTAATCATTTTTTATAATTATAATTACTTATTCATGTATGAACGAAGTTGCAGCCCTGCGCAACAACTATTTCGTTAAAAATAATACGAACTTGACTCGTGTGTGTTCTTTCTGACCGTACCTGATTAAGTGGTCCTATACCATGTATACCTTCAACAACCCACGTTTTACGTGCACACATTTTTTTCCCTCTACCTATCTGTGCCAAATATGGTAAATGTTAAAAATCAAAATACAAATCGAGCACAATAATCTTGTGGACTTTAATCTAAAAAGCTTTTCAGAAAGAAAATCAAACGTCTATGCATATTTAAAGTTAAAAACATTTACAACAAAAAGGTTACATTAACTCCATGATAAAGTACTTTTATATTTGTTCTATACATAAAAATGGTCAAGAATGTTGGTTGAACAATTTAGTAACACAATTTGTGAACCGTTCGGCAGTTTATATTATCATGATCTGTAAACTGAAATACGAGATTCCAAATTAAATCAAAGAAGATCTTTTTTGCTAGATGTTGTGTAAAAAGTATTGTAAATCCGTGTTTGGTTGTTTCAACAATTGGGTTTTGGGATACAATTTTAAAGAGTATCAGTTCTGGGGACCAAATGAACTAAATCATACTTTGTATATATTATGATATTTAAACAAGTTCATCAATTCTCAAATTATCAAATCAGACACACTGTTATCCTAAAAATACATAACACTCAAACAAGCTGTGTATTGTAAGAGATGAAATCAGCATCAGACATTGCTTCTATTTTAAATTTCAGATCATACCATTTCTCGCAGTTTATAAATTCACCTGCTTCACGGTCAAATATTTTGACATAGTCTTGTGACAAGGCAACAAATTCACGCTCTTTGTAGATAATTATCGAACCCCAATTATGTCTACATTCAAGTCCATATGCTTTACCTTGCTTTTTAAAACCGTCAAACTCCTTTTGTTTCTTTTTAGCTATTGGTCTCTTATCGACTCTTGCTAGCATGGTATTGTCACAAACAAGGAACATTTTTTCATTTACATGTCGCATTAGGTCACCATCAGTGATAACAACACCACAGTATTTACAATTGACCGTGAAAAGCCCACTTTTTTTTTGGCTTAACTTAATGTTTGCCGTCCTCCTTTCGAGCTCTTCCATTTCATAAATGATTTTTTCTGCTACTGCTATATCCCTTGCAATATTAAGTTTGGAAACTTCTTCTACTGCAAGTGTCATTAGATACTGCCGCTGGATGTTTTTCATTTCAGTTTCAAACTCCTTTGTAGTACCAACAATTACTTCTCGTCCTTCTCTTTTACGTACTCTTCCTAAAAATTTCATAACACATCTTTCATTTACTAATTCCATAAACTCCATATTTGTTGGGTTCTGTTGTTATTCATGGTTTTTATGTTTTTTTTTGTTTTTTTTTATTCAAAATTGTGTCTGTTTTTGTTCAAATAAGTTTTTTTAATAGTCACTTGGTTGTTTACCTACTTCTAAATAATATTAAAATTTGAGGTGAGGAGGATTATGACAAATATAACATATTTCAAATATACAACAATTCTTTTAAACGTTTGGTTTTGTTTATATTTGTTTTTGTTTTTTTTTAATTAGATATTCCCTTTAATCGAAAAATTGTTCCTTTGTATGTGCTATTTCAAATCAGACACCATCAAATATATCGAGAATATTTAAAAAAAAGACAGAGCGTTTGAAGTAAAAATAAATGTATACCACGCATTTGCAAGCTGCTTATTTCATCTGCACTAAATCTATAACGGATCATCACATTGCATTGTGGAACATCGAGCCCCTCACATCCTACTGATGTTGAAACAATGCATAAATGGTCACCACTTCTAAACTTTTCCAAGACGTCTATCTGTTCGTCCGGAGGACGACCTGCAGTTAAAGAGCAAGTGCATAAAACAGTTACTGACTATATATTGCTTTAATAATAAAATCAAAGTAAATCTGTTTCTTCTTCATTTTCTATAACAATTCTTAAACAAACTTACAATTTGGCATTTGTTTTTTTTAATATTTATTGTTAAAAACCGTTTTCTACTCGATGGACTAAAAAAAAGTCTAACAAACAATTGTTTTACTATTATACGTAGGACTAATGTTTCTCATATATATATTTGAATACCAGACAGTTCATGTATTGTATATTAGACATGGTCAGCGTCCCGATGAGTATATGGTTATGTGATGTAATGACGACATGAACAGAATATTTTTTGAAAAAGAAGTTAACATATTTATCAGTAAAGTGAATGAAAAAACAAAATGTTTAAAACAATTGATATGATCAAGTGCATTAAACATGTAGAATATAGTAAACGTTTTCTTCCGTTTGGATATTTTACTAAAACATAAAGATGGCTTCAATCTATACTCCGCAACAGGTTCAAAATGAAACCCTGCTGTGCTGTGTTAGTATTAACAGTTCATTATAATGTTAGATACATTTAATGTCACTTCTATCCAAATACAATTTATTGACCTCGGTTATCTTCTACCCTGTCCATAAACTGTTGTATGGACCGTAGCGCTTCGAATTATTTGCTTAACACTAATTAATCACGGTAGCTAAAGAGAAGTAATAGGCATTTTTGTCAAATCCCAACCAAAGATTAGGTTCCGGTGATCAATTTACAACTTACGATTTGTTTATATGCTAAACAGTTTAAAGAGTGTTGGTGAACACCATCAACAGAAATTATTGGATATTATCATCGTCTTTTGAATGATATGCGGCAGACAACAACAGAAATTATTGGATATTATCATCGTCTTTTGAATGATATGCGGCAGACAAATCTATACTGTCTCATGTTTTTACCTTACAATTCATAGTATTTAGTTCTAATTTCGGTAGTGTTTGTAACTAATCTGTGAAGAACCGGATATGGAAAATTGCTACTTTTTTCGAATTTAAAGAATGTAAAACATAGAAGAAAAATACTAATGTCTATCCCAAAAGAAAATATCCAGGTTTAATTATAAGAAATAATCTTATTTACTATATACTTAGTTTTCATACATGTAAAATGTATGTGTTATACGAACAACGGCAATCGTGCTGTATCAGCCATCTGTGGTGATATCGATATCAGTCAAGTTTGCAAAGGCTTCATCACACCCTTAACCTGTATGACGTCACATCATCGACATCAGTCACCGTTGCAAAGGCTTTCTCAAACCCTTAATCTGTATGACGTCACGTCACACGAAAAAAAACATCTACTTGAGATATATAATAAATTGTATATGATATGCCTCATTCAATATTACACACCATATCAACTCTCAACAAATTTAATTCCTCGAGCAGAGCTCTTGGGATTATATTGGTGTCTCGGTTTAGTAAGGATGTGCTATTGACAAAATTCAAATATAATATAATCTATAGATACAATGTGAATCATATTCACTCGCTTAAGAAAACAGGTTTTAATTGCAACCTATTATATCATTAACGGTTAAGTTGTTTTGGCTCCTTTCTAACATTTCTATAAAACAATAGAATCGTCTTGATGATATAAAAGATAAGTACCTCCTTCCTCTATAGATTTGTGTGACCCAGTGAGGTAAGTACTGCGCAGATAGTCAGGAAGCCTCTCTGATAGGGATCGTGCTGTAGCTCTGGTTTTTACAAATATGATAAACCTGGATTCCTCTTTGAGTTCTTTGTATTCACTTTCGATCCTTTCAACAACAGCAAGTATATCAGGATTACCTTCTATGTTCCTACCAATTTCTCGTATGTCAGCAACAACGTCTTTTTGGAAATAAGTAAGATAAACGGATTTAAAGAATGGTTAAATGTATTGAACAAAATAACACATTTTTAAATTCGTTAAAAAATACTTAACACATATAACAACTTATTATAAGCAAGGAATTATAGTTAACCTGAATCTTTATCGTCCCATCATGTTTATAAATAGTTACTGGTGTAAATAATGATACAATCATATACAAAGGTATTTTATAAATAAGATGAAAATTAGGAACATCGTATTACTTCCCTATTAATTTTCAATTTTTAAGGATTGAAGGAAGTTCACCGTGTATTTGATATGCAGCCTTTCGTACGGAACAGACCTTCGTAAGTCAAAAGGGCATATATATATCATGTATATATATACATTTAAGCAAATGTTAGTAATGAAAAATATCTGTTTGAAACTTTTTTATTTGCGGCTGATTGATTTAGTTTTGTTATACGTTTGAGTGTCATTGTATTTGTTTATACCTCATCAACATTAACTACTTTTGGATCCCTTATGTTCAATGTTATCACTGGTCTGCAACGCTGAAGAGAAATGCATTTTCGGAATGATGATTTAAAGCATTATATTGAAAATAATATCTTGTAATTTACTGGTGTTTCAAGTCGTATTCGTATATTTTTTCAAGTTTTGGTGTATTCATTGTTGAATTGACTACTCTTAAATATGGAGTTGTGGTATAATTGCTAAGTCACATCTTACCACAAAATATTAAAGAACAAGAGTTTGAAAGAGTACAGGTCACTATACCGCCTGCAACGATGAGCAACACGCATATCGTATGGTGAGGTATTCACTTTAAAAAAGATTAATAAATAAACATGAAGTTAGAACAGTGTTGCGAACATACCAAAACAGCATGTCAATTGACTAATTTATACATAAAGTAAAGATGGATTTTTGTCTCGAGTCATCAATTACCTTGAAGTTTGAGTACAATGTCCCTTTCTTCATCTGTGTTAGCGACTTTAGTTGAAAAGGATTCATCTGCATACCCTTGTATAATCACATTCCGGACTTGGTCAATTTCAAGCAATGAATTGATTTCTAGACACTCTGTATACAGCTTAAAGTAACCATTATTGAATATAGAAAAAAACTAAGACTTTCATGTTGTGTGCTTTTTACTTTAATTTATTATTTACTTTCACCATAGTTTTTCCAATCATCTTAAATGATTGTTATATTTGAGATATGCAAGAATAGTTAGTTCAGTGCAGACAGTATGTGTTTCTTGCATAAGGGTCAATTCTAAACTCGACATCAGATATAGGGAGGTTGCAAACTGTTTGGGTTTTTTTTTCGTCAAAACTCCAGGCCTCTTTTTCTATATATATATATATATATATATATAATGTGACTGATAACAACATTTGTTGTTACCGTATATGGTCAACAAGACGGTTACACTAGTGGAGCAACTGTTAGCATCTGCTTTTATTACTCAATATATCATAATAAAAACATAATACGCAAACATCTATGATATATATATAGGGGGAGGGTTGAGATCTAACAAAACATGTTTAACCCCACTGCATTGTTGCGCCTGTCCCAAGTCAGGAGCTTCTAGCCTTTGTTAGTCTTGTATGATTTTTAATTTTAGTTCATTTACATGTTTTGGAGTTTAGTATGGCCTCCATTATCACTGAACAAGTACACTTTTTTGTTGTCGGGTGCAGGATTTTCTCGCTGTGTTGAAGACCCATGGTGGCCTTCGGTTGTTTCTTTGCTCTGTGGTCGGGTAATTGTCTCTTTGACACATTCCCCATTTCCATTCTCAATTTTATCATATATTATACAATTTATATATAGCATATTTATTGTACCCATACAATACCTCTAAGTGTCTTAGACATGCGTGAAGAAGTCGTGGTACTTTTGGATCTTTATGTAATACATGCTCCACTTTTTCTTTAGTTTCTGCAATCCACTGTATGTACCGGACGTCCTTTCTCTGTTGTGGTGGATTGCCTAATACTTCGAACAGGTCCATACTGTCGTGCAGATTTTCAGTCAAAAAGTTGGAAACTAGAAAACCGAATTATGAAATATACAGCACAGTAGACACAGATATAATACGTCCAAAAGGCACACGTTCATTAAGATTATGCTTATACTAGTCATAACGACTCGGTGATCAAATTCTGTTTAACAATTAGAAATTCGCCTCAATCGGTATTTGTAGCTCGCAGAAAACTTCATCATGTCTGTTCTTTCCAAATATTTTCAGAAGTAGCTTTCTGCACAAACATTATTGTTTCGATGTACGTTGTTGGTTTTCATATATTTCAGCTGACAAAGTTTGCATCTTGCGAGCAAAGCTAACACAAGGGTATCCCAGTACTCTGATAAGTCCGGAAATTTATGAAAGAAGCCCCTACATATAATTTGGATTAAACAACAAAGAAAGTATTACAAAATGCTATTGTTTGATAAAGATTCGGGAATGCTTTATATTATTTTCCTATGTATGATTTGTATTGTGTTAATGTCAAAGCATTAGTCATTACATGCATAGCTCTCTTCACTCACACTTTAACTTGATACTAGCCGATATGTAACTATTACATATCTATTTTGCAAACTTTACTTTGCTTAATTATCGTATTTAACCATTCAGAACGGCACTCTTAAAAGAACAGTGCAACAAACTAACAAACATACATCTTTATAACGTCAACATTGTACATTTGTAGAAATAACCATCAAAACATGTTGAATTTAAAAGCATTAATTTATGTATTACTCTCGCTGGGAAAATTAGGTGACGCTGACGTATGGTCCTGCGCAAAACAGTAAAATAACAAAATTACTGAACTCCAAGAGATATTCAAAACGGAAAGTCCTTTATAAAATGTGAAAATCAAAAGCTCAATCACATCTAACGAATATAAATAACAATAATATTTCAGACTTGGTACAGTCATTTCCTTATGTAGAAAATGGTGGATTAAACCTGGTTTTATAGCTAGCTTGTCCGACAGTCGCATTGAATTTCAAACCGGAGCGTTTTCAATATGAGGTCGCTATATGTAACATATTATCAATAAATGGGGAATGTGTCCATGGGATACAGATGATGTCCCCGCTTGCATATAAGGTTATAAAGGGACATAACTCAAGAACTGTAAAAGTGACACTACCAAAATTTGTTCTTGACCTGAGTTTTGTGGTAATAAGCATCGTTTATAAGTTTCACAACATTTACATGATTTAGTTGAGGCAAACTTAAGTTAAAGAACGGAAACGAAAAATTCAGCAATTTTTCCATTTATAAAGGGGCATAACTCTAGAACGGTAAAAGTGACACCACCAAAATTTGATCTTGATCTGTGTTCTGTGGTAATTAGCATAGTGCAGAAGTTTCATAACATTTGGTTGAGGCAAACTAAAGGTAGAGAACAAAAACAAATATCTCAGCAATTTTTCCATTTGTAAAGGGGCATATCTCTAGAACGGTGTAAGTGATGCCACCAAAATTCAAAGCTAATCTGTGTTTTGTGGTAATAAACATTGTTGATAAGTTTCATAATATTTGGTTGAGGCAAACTAAAGTTAGAGAACGGTCACTAATTTTGGAACGTACGTACGTACAGACGGACAAGGGTAAAACTTAATGCCTACGCTACGGCGGGGGCATAATAATAAGAAAACTGAACACAACCCCAACCCCGCCACCCGAATTCCGCAACTAAAGCATATAAAAAATACTTTGTTAACACACAAAAAAACTTAATCAAAAGATGCCGTTAAACTATGTCACTGCACGGAACTTAATACCATTCAAACGGTTAAACATATAAACCATTATTTTCCTAAGAAATGAAATGACAAAATATTACGTTTCCTTACCTATCCGAGAGTTCAGTTTATGCTCAACATATCCCATTGCATCGAAAAGAATATCTTGTAAAGGATCGTTTTTTCTGGTAGTTGATGATATAGGAACTGAATAAAACAAATATTTAATCTTGTATGCTTTCACTTTTTTAACAGTGTAATTGTGTATACATACCAGAGATCAAATATGAACATTAGATGGCGAGAGAAAAACGTACACTTTAACTGTTATAATTTAGTCTGGACACTAACTGTTTTGGAAATTCATCATATTTCAATAACGTTACCTATCTAAATCGAAAAAGATCACATAAATTGTTCAAACACGCTTCTTTGAAACAATGTGAATACTTTGATAGGAACAATAGAAAAATATATGTTATACGTACATTCATACCGGAAATAATCAAACAGTACACATATCTTTAAACCGTATAAGTCTTGATTTTCTTAATTGTTTGATATTTTTTTCATTCGATTATCTATTTTTCAAATTTTTCTATGTCACCAACGTACGTCTTCTATGTGTTAATGCTGTTCTCTAGTACAAAATTAAGTGTTAAACATTGTTACAGTCCTTTTTTGGTATTCTGTTCAATTCCGAATGTCTTTTTCCAGATCATTTATATATTAAGGAAATGCTTAAACCCATTGTCGGGAGCTTTTTGTTAAAAATATGCTTATAACAGATTTAGTCATTGTAAAATCAATATAATTATGGCATGATATTTGTCCATGAACATGTTTGTATTTTTGACTGCAGATGACATAACCAACCTTTTTCTGGAATTGACGTATATTGAAGCAATTCTTCTTTATTTCGTTTGACTACAGACAATTCTGATACATCTAAATTTGCCATAACTTTCCTTAAATGATCCTTTGCTGATGCTACATCTTTAGCCTTGTTTGTACCTGGCGATGCGGTAAGTCCAAGTATCTTTAAAAATCATATTATATATCTATTGAAATAACAAAGTTAGCGTGTTTTATAACCTATATAACTTTTCCTTTGATATAAAGTGTACTTTGTTATAAACAAATCAAATATCTTAAGGTAATTATTCGATGATTTTAATAGAAATTAAAAAATCCAAACACAAGAAAGTTTAGATAAATG